TGGGGAGGGGGCAACAGGGGTCTGAGGGCGTGTCTAGGGGATTTGGGGTGTCTATAGGGGGCTCTGGGGGGTGAGGGGACCTATAGGGGGACTGGGGGCGTCTCTAGGTGAGCTGAAGGGGTCTGTAGTGCTCGGGGGGGGGGGCTATAGGGGGGTGTCTGTAGGGTCCCCTGGGGGGGTTATGGGGAGACACTGGGGTGGGAAGAAGCCCAAGGGAGGTGTTGCAGGGCTCTATATGGGCTCTATAGGGTCTGGGGGCGGGGCAGGGGGGTCCCGGGCTGACCGGAGCCCCCAGCCCCCCCCCCGTCCCGCCATGCTGCCGCTGCTGCTGCTGCTGCTGCCTGTGCCACCTGCACTGCCGGGCACCGTGGAGGTGACACGGCCCCGCGGCGTCTCCCTCTCCAGTGAGTGACACACCCCCACGGGGGGGGGGCCCCAACATCCCTCTGGACCCCCCCAATATGTCCCTGTGTCCCCTCCAACCCCCCCCCCCCCCGCCCCCAGACCACCACTTCTACGAGGCCTCGAAACCCTTCACCTGCCTGGACGGCTCGGCCACCATCGCCTTCGCTTGGGTCAACGACGACTATTGTGACTGTCGCGACGGCTCTGACGAGCCTGGTGAGCCCCCCCCACCCCTCTACACCCCAAAGACCCTTTTCGGAACCCCAAATGTCCTGATGGGACTCCCCCATGTGTCCTCTCCCCCCCCCACCCCCAGGGACGGCGGCGTGTCCCAACGGCCGTTTCCACTGCACCAACGCTGGGTACCGGCCCCAGAACATCCCCTCGGCCCACGTCAACGACGGCGTCTGCGGTGGGTCTGGGGGTGCTAGGGGGACTTTGGGGGGGCTCATTGGGTCCCCTTGGGGGGGAGAAGGGTGGGTCTCGGGCTCCTGGAGGGGAATTGGGGCCTCCCCCAAACTCTGCGGTTGGAGTGGGGGGTAGGAAGGTCCTTGAGGGGTCTTGGAGGAAAATGTTGGGGTCCCTACAGGGGTTCTGGGGGTTCCTAGGGGGGCTCTGGGGGTCCCTGGGAGGTGTTGGGGATCCCTGGGGGGAGTTCTGGGGGTCTCCAGGAGGTGTTGGGTTCCTGGGGGCGTTTCGGAGGGTTCCTAGGAGGGTTTCTGGGGGTCTCCAGGAGGTGTTGGGGTTTGTGAAGGTTTTTTGGGGTATCTGGGGGGCAGTTCTGGGGGTCCCCAGGAGGTGTTGGGTTCCTGGGGGGATTCTGGGGGTCCCCAGGGAGTGGTGGGGTCACTGGGGGGATTCTGGGGGGATTCTGGGGGTCCCCAGCAGGAGTTTAGGTTTGTGGGGGGGTTCTGGGGATCCCTGGGGGGGTTCTGAGTGTCCCCAGGAGGTGTTGGGGTCTCTGGGGGTGGTTCTGGAGGTCTCTGGGAGGGCTTTTGGGTCTCTGAGGTGTATTGGGATTTGGGGGGGGGGTGGTTCTGGGGGTCCCCAGGAGGTTTTGGGGTCCTCTGGGGGGGGTCCCCAGGGTGCTGAACCCCCCCCCTCACCCCCCCTTCTCCAGACTGCTGTGACGCCACCGACGAATACGACAGCAGCGCCGCCTGCGAGAACACCTGCAAGTGAGCCTGGGGGGGGAACTGGGACGCTACTGGGGGGACTGGGACAGTACTGGGCGGGGGGCGTGTCTGCATTGTGGGGTGCCCCCCACCTGCCCCCCCCCCGTGCCCCTCACAGGGAGCTGGGCCGGCGGGAGCGGGAGGCTCTGCAGCGCCGGGCAGAGGTGGCCCGGGAGGGCGCCCGCATCAAAGAGCAACTGGTGCAGGAGGCGGCTGCGGGGCGGCAGGAGAAACAGGTACTGGGGGGAAAGAGGGGGCCCGGGGGGGGGGCCCGGGGTGTGGGGGGCTCACGGAGGGGGGGGAGGGGGTGTGAGAGGGGTGGGGAGGTGGGGGGGAAGGGGTGCGAGGGGGTTGTGGGGGGTAGAAGGGGGATTGAGGGGTGGGGGGCTTGTCTTACTGGGGATTTGGGGGGGTCTGGGGTGGGGGGGTTCTCGTGGGGTGGGGGGTGGGGGCCCATGGGGGGGTAGGGACATATGAGAGGTCGGGGTGGGGGGGGGTGGAGAGGAGGGGAAGGGTCGTGGGGGGATGGGGGGGGGTCTGTATTGGGGATGTGGGGGAGTCTGGGGTGGGGGATCTCGGGGGGTGTGTGTGGGGTCTCATGGGGGGCTTAAGGGGGGGAGTGGGGGGCCCTGGCAGGACACATGGGGTCCCATTATGGATGTGGGGGGGGGGGGGTTCCATGGGGGGTCAGGAGGGTCCCATGGGGGATGTAGAGGGTGTGTGGGGGGGTTGTGGGGTGTCGTGGGGAGGTCATGGGCGGGGGCTTTAAGGGGCTGTGGGGGTCAAGGGAGTTCTTGGAGGGTTTGTGGGAGTCCCAGGGGGAACACGGGGGGGTCCAGAGGAGCATGCGGGGGGTCCTGGGGGGCACAAGGGGCTCCCGGGGAGGGATGGGGGTCCCCTGGGCGGTCCCGGGTGCTGACCTCCCCCCCCACACACACACAGGGCCGGCTGGGGGGGCTGCAGGAGGCCCGGCGGGGGCTGGAGCAGCGTGTGGGGACCCTGCGGGCGGCCAAGGAGGCGGCGGAGGGGCCCGAGCGGGCAGCCAAGGAGGAGCATCAGCGGCGCTGGGAGGGTACGGTGGGACCCCCCCCGGATGCTGGGAGCTCCCCCCCCCCCGGGGGGGTTTGGGGGGGGTCTGAGCCCGCCTGTCCCAGCAGAGCAGCGGGCGGCAGCAGCGGCGGAGGCGGAGGCGGCGCGGGCGGATGAAGCTTTTGCCGAGCTGGACACCGACGGGGATGGGTGGTGAGCTGAGGGGGGGCATGGGGGGGCCCCCTGGGGTGGGGGAGAGGAGGGGGGGCAGCACCCAGCACCCCCCCAACCCTTCACCCTGCACCCCCTCCCCAGGGTGACGGCGGGGGAGCTGCGGGCCCGCCCCGAGCTGGACACCGACGGGGATGGCGTCGTCTCAGAAGATGAAGCCCAGGTGGGGCCCCCAGAACCCCCCCTGGAGCCCCCCCCAGAGCCCCCCCTCAGGGCCTGGGGGGACCCAGGGCTCCAGGAAAGTGACACCCCGCTGTGTGTGTGTGCCCCCCCACAGGCGCTACTGGGGGACCCGGCACCAGTGGACGCTGCCACCTTCCGTGACCGTCTCTGGGCCACCATCAAGCAGCGCTACCAGCCCCAGGTGGGTCTGGGGGGGGACCAAGGCTTTTGGGGGGGGGGTCCCCAGGCTTTTAGGGGGGTCCCTGAGCTTTTCGGGCGGGGGGGGCAGGAAGCATTTGTGTTTCCTGTGTTTGGGTAGGTCCTACATTAAGTTGTTATGGGGAAATTGAGGCAGGGGTGTGAGGGATGGGGGTGGCCTGACACAGCGCCACCTCCCCATAATGTGCAGGGCCAAGCTGAGCCCCCTCCGCCCCACCCTGAGCCCCCCCTAGAGGAGACCCCCCCCGAGGAGGAGGAGGAAGAAGAGGAAGAAGAGACTGAAGAGGAAGAAGAGGAAGAGGAAGGTGGCGAAGGCGGTGAAGGCCCCGAGGAAGAGCTGAAGGTGGTGGGGGGGTGAGGGCACAACTGGGGCACCCCCACCTTGTACCTTGCTATGGGGGGGTTGGGGGCCCCCCCTCCTGACCCCACTGCCCCCCCAGGTCCCGCCCCCCCAGCACCCTGAGGAGAAGGGCCCTGAGGAGCCCCCCCCAACACCGCCCTTTGATGCTGCCACTCAGGCCCTGATTGATGGTATGGGGGGGTTCTCAAGGGGGTTTGGGGGGGGCCTGGGGGAGGGGGCAGGGTTTTGGGGGGGTCTTTGGGGGAAATGGGGGTTCTCAGGGCGGGTGGTGGGGTTTTGGGGGGGCTGGAGTGCTGGGAGGAGTGGGGGGAGGTTCTGTGTGGTGCTTGGGGGAGCTGAGCCCGCTGTGCCCTCCCTGCTGGGGGTCTGGGGTTGCTCCCAGTTTGGGGGAGGGCTGCTCCCAGTTTGGGGGGCCCCCTCACCCCCCCATGTCCCCCCACCCCCAGCCGCCCAGCGGGCCCGTGAGGAGCTGGAAGAGGCTGAGCGAGCTCTCAAGGAGGCTGAGGAGTCCATCAGGTGGGATGGGGGCCCTTTGAGACGGGGGGGGTGGGGTGGGGGGGTGGGAAGCACCCTATAAACCTTCGTTCCTTCCCGGGGTGGGGGGGGACACCCCAAAAAAAAAATGGGAGAGGGATAACCTGAGTGCTCTTTGTATTATGTGTCTGACTTTCCTCCTGGGCTGATTGGGGCGGGGGCGATGGGAGGGTATGGGGGGGGGGCTAGGGAGGGTGTGGGGGTGTCCCTGCCCCCCCCCCCATGACCCCCCCCCCATCCCGGCAGGGCCCTGGAGCAGGAATTGGCTTTCGACTTCGGTCCCCAGGGCGAATTCTCCTACCTGTACAACCAGTGCTACGAGCTGGGCACCAGCGAGTGAGGGGGGGCCCGGGACTGGGGGGACTGGATGGGGGGGGAGCCGAGTTGGGGAGGGGTTGGGGGGGTCACTGGGAGCTGGTAATGGGGATAATGAGTGGGACTGGGGGGGGGTGGTTATAGGGGACATGGGGGGAGCAGGTCTGGGGACACTGAGGGGGGGTAGCAGGGAAAATGGGGGGGGGTCAAAGTGGGGGGCACCAGGGATCGGCTGTGGGGACACTGGGGGGCTGGGGACAGCAGGGGGAGCCAGGTATGGGGAGGTGGGGGGTGGTTCTGGGGGACACAGAGGCATTGGGGTCCCCCCATGTGTGCCCCCCCCGCTCTGTCCCCAGGTACATCTACCGCCTCTGCCCCTTCAAACGCGTCTCCCAGAAACCCAAACACGGCGGCGCCGAGACCAACCTGGGGTGAGGGGACCCCAGAGCCCCCCTGGGGACACCACAGTGGCTCCTGTCCCCTGGGTTTGGGGGTGTGTGTGTGTGTGTGTGTCCCTCATGTGCGTGTGTGTCCCCCCCCCCAGGACATGGGGCACCTGGGCCGGCCCCGAGCACGATCGTTTCAGCGCCATGAAGTACGAGCACGGGACAGGCTGCTGGCAGGGCCCCAACCGGGCCACCACGGTGAGGCTGTCCCCCTGTGTCCCATCCGTGCCCCCCCCCCGGGGTGTCCCCACATCCCTTGTGTCCCCCCCAGTGACACACACATTCCCCCCCCGCAGGTGAAGCTGTCGTGTGGGACGGAGACGGCGGTGACGGCCACCACGGAGCCCAGCCGCTGCGAGTACCTGATGGAGCTGGTGACGCCCGCAGCGTGTCGCAACCCCCCCTCGCACGAGGACCACGACGAGCTCTGACCCCGGGTACTGCTGTTGACAAACCCCCCCCCTCGCACGAGGAGCTCCCCCCTCGCACGAGGACTCATCTTGCACGGCCATCACGTTCTGTCCGTGCCTCAGTTTCCCCTTGGGACACACACACACACACACGCTGTTCCCTTGAGAGGACAATCCCCATTGCTTTTGTCCCCAGGGGGGCCCCCCCCTTATTCCCCCGGGGGGAGATGGTGACAGCACGGTCCCTGCCTCAGTTTCCCTCTCCCACAGCCCAGTGGGAGCTGCCAGGACCTTGAGGGACCGCAACCCCCCACCCCGTGGGGGGAGCATTTTTTGGGGACACACACACACACACGCAGAGGCCGCTGCGACTGAGCCGGGGTGGGGTGGGTGGGCAGGGCGGAATATCGGACTCTTCCATCATTCTCCAACGCGAGACATAAAAATAAAAATAGAATTTAAAAGCGGCGTGTCCCCCCCCCTCTCCCCGCAGCCCCCCCGGCGGGTCATAGCTCGTCCCGCGCGGCGCTGTCGAGGGGGGACTGGAGCACGTCGGCGTTCTGGGCCTCCCGCCGCAGCTCCTGCTGCTCCTTCATCTTCTGGGACTTGGCCCGGTCCCAGTCGGTGACGGTGGCCTCGTCGTCCCACACCACCGAGGTCTCGGTGTCGCTGACGTAACCCTCGTCCCCCGTGTAGTGGGTGGGGAACACCAGGAGCGGCTCCGCCGAAAACGCCACCAAATCCCGCTTGGCGAAATGTTTGGTGTAATCGGCGCTGGGGAGAGAGAGCGGGCTTAGGGGAGGGCAGGAAAAAAAGCCGGGAAAAGAGCTTTTTTTTTTTTTTTTTTTTTTTCCCCCCTCCCAAAATGCCAAGGGGGTTTTTGAAAGAGAAGAGCAATGGGGGAGCTCCTGGAGTGAACCCCCCGGGGGTAGGTGATGAGGAAAGGGATGAGGAGCTGGCATTGAGCGGAAACAGATCCAAAAGGACAAAAATAAATGGCTCCCAGGGGAGAAGGGAGCGGGTCTGGGAGAAAATGGAGCCAAAAGGCCCTGAAACCATCCCAAAGGCCACAAAATTGTCCCCAAGGGGAACCGGAGCTAAAGGGACAGGGAGACTGGCTGCGAGGGAAATGGGTCCAAGGGAAACGGCACCCAAAGGACAAGAGAAATGGATCCAAGGAACAAGAAACCAGCTCTAAGGGAAAAGGGAGCCGGAGCGACATGAAGAGTGTCTCCCGAGGCAGCAGGAATGGCCTCTGCGGGAAAATGAACCCAAAGGGACATGAAAAATAGCACCAAAGGACCAAGAAACCAGCTCCAAAGGGAATCGGAGCCAAAGGGACATAAAAAGGGTCTCTCAGTGAACAAGAAATGGTCTCTGAGGGGCAGTGGAGCCAGAGGGAAGGGGAAAATCCTCTCTCTGAAGGGAAATGCAGCCACGGGGACAAGGGAAATGGCTCCAGAGGCCAAGAAACCAGCTCTGAGAGGAAATGGATCCAAGGGGACAAGAAATGGGCTCAAAAGGGACAAGAAAAATGGGCCCTCGAGGACAAAACCAGCTCTGAGGAGAAACAACTCCAAAGGGACGTGGGAAAAAAACATCTCCAGGGGAAATGCAGGGATAGGGGGGAAATGGCTCCAACGGGACGAGGAACCGTCACTGAGGGGGAAACGCCTCCAAGAGGACAAGGGAAATGGTTCCAAAGGGAGAAGAAACGGCCTCGGAGGGAAAATGAACCAAAAGGGACGTGAAAAATGGCGCCAAAGGGACAAGAAACCGGCTCTGAGGGGAAGTGGAGCCAAAGGGACAAGAAAAGCACCTATCTCCAAGGGGAGTGTCTCCAGAGGGACAAGAAACCACCTCTGAGGGGAAATGGCACCAAGGAGACAAGAAAAGCGTCTCCCAAGGGACAAGAAACGGTCTCTGAGGGATGACGGAGCCGAAGGCAGGAGAGAAATCCTGTCTCTGGAGGGGAAGGCATCCATGGGGACAAGGGAAGTGGCTCCAGAAAACGGCTCCTGAGGGACGAGGAACCAGCGCTGAGGGGAAACGAACCGATCCAACGGGCTAGAACGGCTCCGAGGGGCCACCTCCCCCCCAGCCCACCCCTCAGCACCCCCCGGGACTCACAGCGGGTGTTTGTTGAACATGACGGGCAGGAACTCGTCGACCGGCAGCATCTTGGCCAGCGGCTCGGCCGCCAGCAGCTTCCGCGCGCCCGACAGCGAGAGGACGTAGCCCAGCGTCCAGTACGAGTAATCGGCTTCCACCAGGTTCCTCACCCGCGGCACCGACTTCTCCGGCCGCTCCACCTGCATCCTCTTCCTCCCGATGTAACTGCGGGGAGAGCCGACAGCCTCGTTAACGCCCGCGAGTCGGTTGCCGACCGGGTAATTAAGCGGCCAGACTCACATCAGGTCCCAGGCCAGCCCCTCCGCTTCCAGGTCGTGCATCAGGTTCATCAGGCGGCGCTTGAAGAAGATCTCGAAGCGCAGGTCGTCCTCGAACACCACCGACTTCTCCAGCCCCCGCGCCACAATCTGCGGGGTTCAGGGAAAAGGCGCGGTTTTTACGGAAAAAGGGAAATCCTCCCGGTTCTCCCGCCAGGCCGGAGGGACAGGAGGCCCCGGCCAACACCTTCTCCTGACAGGATTGGGGATTGTCCCGTTCTTCCCAAAAGGATTAGGGATTAGTCCCATCATCCCCTTGGAATTAGGAATTAGTCCCATCCTCTGCTCAGGATTCAGGATTAGTCCCCTCCTTCCCAGCAGGATTAGAGGGATTAGTCCCATCCTCCCCTCAGGATTAGGGATTAGTCCCATCATTCCTGTTAGGATTAAGGACTCGTTCCCTTCTGTAACGTCCACACTGGGGATTTGTCCCCTTCATTGCTGCCAGGACTAAGGACTTGTCCCCGTCCTTCCCGTTGGGATTAGGGATTTGTCCCCTTCCTTGCTGTCAGGAAGTTTTCCTCTCTGTTACCATTGGGATTAGGGACTCGTTTTCACTGCCATCAGGATTAGGGCTTTGTCCCCTCCCTTCCCGCTGGAATTAGGGGCTCGTCCCCTTCCTTAACATCCACATTCAGGACTCGTCCCCTTTGCTGCTGTCAGGATGAAGGACTCATCCCATTCCTTTCCCTCGGGATTAGGGATTTGCCTCCTTCCTTCCTCTCGGGATTAGGGATTTGTCACTTTACTCTTGGGATTAGGGACTCATTCCCTTCGCTACTGTCAGAACTAAGGACTCATCTCCTTCCCCTTAGGATTAGGGACTCGTCCCCTTCCTTCCCCTTGGGATTAGGGACTCGTCCCCTTCCTTCCCCTCGGAATTAGGGATTTGCCCCTCTTGCTGTTGGGATTAGGGGCCCATCCCCTTCCTTCCCCTTGGGATGAGGGCTTTGCCCCCTCCCTTCCCCTTGGGATTAGGGACTCATCCCCTTCCTTCCCCTCGGAATTAGGGATTTGCCCCTTTTGCTGTTGGGATTAGGGACCCATCCCCTTCCTTCCCCTCGGGATGAGGGCTTTGCCCCCTCCCTTCCCCTCGGGATTAGGGACTCGCCCCCTCCCTCGCTGTCAGGACTAGGGGGCCCCCATTCTTACCATCGGGATTAGGGACCCGTCCCTTTCTTTCCTGTCAGCATTAGACTCTTGTCCCCTCCGTTACCCCCAGGCTCGGGGCCCCCCCTTGGCCCCCCCCAGCCCCCCCCCCCCCCTCACCTCCTGCCAGACGCGGTAGTGGCTGAGGAAGCAGCCCAGCTCGCCCTTGGTGAGCGGCCGCCCGTGGTAGGGATCCTTGTACCCCGGCAGCATCCGGATGCCCAGCGCCTCCACCTCGCTGCTGTTCATGGCTCTGCAAAGCCAGCGGCTCAGCCTGGGGGGGCCCCCAGCACACACACCCCCCCCCCCCCCCCAAAACGCGGCGTCTGTCCGCCCACCCGTCCGTCTGTCCCCCAGCCCACCCCTCTCCGTGCTCACTTGCCGTCCACCGCCTCCACCAGCTTGCAGGCGATCTCCTGCTCGTACAGCGTCCGCAGCATCCGCTCCCGGCGGTCCGCCCGCCGCTTCAGGTTAATCATGAACACCTGAAAAGGGGGGAAAAGCCCTCAAAATGCAGCGGGGGGCGGGGGGGGGGAGGGGGGAAGGAAAAAAAAATCCAGAAAAGAGGGTGAAGGAAAAAAAAAAAACAAACAATTGAGAAGGGGGAAAACTCTAAAATTCTGAAGAGAGAAAAATAAAAACCCAACCACAATCCAGAACAGAGGGAAAAAAAAACACCAACCAAAATCCAGGAGAGAGTGAAGGGAAAAACCCAACAATTGAAAGGAGGGGGGGAAACTCCAAAATTCGGAAGAGAGAGTGAAGGAAAGGAAAAAAAATCCAGAAGGGGGAAGGAACCCCAGAATTCAGAAGAGAGAAAAAATAAACCAAAATTCAGAAGAGAGGAACGGCCCCCCCAGTCCTGAAGAGGAAGCGTGTGGGGAAAAAAACAGAATCTAGAAGCAGGTGGGGGAACACACAACCCCCCAAATCCAGAAGAAACGGGGGCAGGAACAAAATCCAGAAGGAAGTGGGGGGACGTGATGACACAGGCAAAATTCAAATGAAAGGGAAGAAAATACACATCCAGAAGAAAGGCAGAAAACCCTCCGAAATCCAGAGAGGGGGTGACAACCCGAAACCCAGCAGAGGGGAGAACCCCCCCAAAATTTAGAAAAGGGAAAACCAACCCCAGAATCCAGCAGAGCGGGAGCGAACCCCCCCAAGATGCAGAAGGGGGGGGGGGAGGAACCCCCCAAAATTCAGAGGAGGGGGGAACCCCCCCCCCCAAAAAAGCCGGGGTGCTCACCTCGTCGAAGCCCATCTTGTCGGGGACTTTGGGGGGCACCCAGACGTGGGGGGACGGCTCCGCCGGGGGGTTCTTCACTGCGGGGGGCAGGAGGGAGAAACCCGGCTGGGCTAAGCGGGAATAAACCCCCCAGGGACCGGGGTGGGGGGGTCGTGTGTGTGCCCCCCCCCCCCAAAAAAAGGGCTTTTGTGCCCCACAAGGCCTCGCTGCAAATGGGGGTGGGGGTCCCCCCCCGGCGCTCACCCATGATCTCCAGCTGGACGTGCAGGAAGCTCTCGGCCTCGTCCCGCAGCGTGCTGTGCGACCGCAGCGGCACCGGCAGGAACCCGAACACCTCCCGGTTACAGACGAACATCTGCACCTCTGAAACGCAGCCAGGCCGGGCTTAACGTTACGCGGGGCTGAAGCCAGCACCAGGCCGGGCTTAACGTTACACGGGGCTGAAGCCAGCACCAGGCCGGGCTTAACGTTAAGCGGGGCTGAAGCCAGCACCAGGCCGGGCTTAACGTTACGCGGGGCTGAAGCCAGCACCAGGCCGGGCTTAACGTTACACGGGGCTGAAGCCAGCACCAGGCCGGGCTTAACGTTAAGCGGGGCTGAAGCCAGCACCAGGCCG